GCGTAATTTCCTAATTACTCCGTAATATTTTAAATTTGCCACGGTTACAAATTCATCATCGCCCTTCTGAATCATCCAAATCAATAATTCATTATATTTGCTCCACATATTCTTGTGCTTGGAATTGTTGTTTGTGCTATACATATCACTTCATTTCATTATCATTCATTCCTACACCATTATCATTTAGTCAATAAAACATTAATACATATTTAACCATTATGTGCTGAGTCTGGTGCAGTCTTGATTTTGTGCGGAAATCAGGAATCGCTGGGGAAAGAATTCACCACTTTAGAAATGAGATTGAGATATTGAATATCGAGTATTAAATTGATTTGATTAGATCTTATTGGTTTATTTCCTCCGGATTATCCAGCAACTAGATAACGGAGGTGGTGCCCCATTTACGAGTGTATTATTAATCTTCAGCTGGTTAATTATCTTATTATTAAGTGTATGTCTACACAGCACCACAGACATAAACCCTAACGATGCCACAGTAAGCAGTTATGGAATATTATTAGACAATGTATAATTGGTATCCTGAAATCACTTTTGTAGAAGACTGCAGGTGTGTGTTGGATGTGCTAAAAAAGTAATCATCACTATCGCTCAGCCCTTCAGGCACACGTTTATTGTCTTTCATCATAACCTAACTTCGCATCTCAAGTTCTTGCAACATAAAAACATAAAACAATTAAAACATGGTAAAAACCGGCTTAAAACAAAGTCCTAAGCACTGTCAACACTAAGTAATCTAAGTTACCATCAGAACAAAGCAAATCTGGTTACGGAAACTTTTGTCAATCGTTAATTGCCACACCCAGTTAGCTGTAAAAAATCATTTCAAGCTTTTAACTTAAATATCTTCATTATAACAACATAATTATTTTCATCCTTGTTGTTAGGTAATACCTAATGTGATAGGTCACAGCCATAAAAATCACATTCAGTCATTTTTACTGCCACATACACACAATTCAAAGAAAGTATCATGATAACCTTTTTCCCTCGGGATCATTATTATGCTCAACTTTGACATTTCACACTACAACATCATATGGCCTTCCTGCTGACATCAACCTGCAAATAACATGTACATTTTCTACTCCTCAATATTCAGTGTGGTCATAAAAATCATGATTGTTTGTGGCACATTTCAGGAAAACCCAATAACATGCCCAATAGATTATGAGATACAGACAGCAGTTTTCAGTGATTTTGGATTTTCAATCTTCAAGCAGGGATCAGTAGATATACAGCCTATCAATTATCACATCTGAGTGACCAAAAGCCCACTGAAAGTTGTATGGTAGTCAGTTCCCCAAACATATGCATTTGCAGCCAAGCGCACGTACACCTGGTCTCCTTGCTGCAGCTGCAGGAACACTGCGTTTCCTCCATTAGCAGCTGAGGCTTGCTGGTGATGATGGGTCACAGCTATGAGTTGATTGTTCTTGTAGAGTTTCAACACTGCCATATGTCCTCCTCCAGCATGATAGAAGATGGAAAAGTGATAAACACCTGCAACAGGTGCGATGAAGATACCTGTGGAAACAATAGTGTGTTTATATTAATTTTTTAAATGACAACCTTGAGTTCAGGTTTTTTGTTTGTTTGTTTTTACTGTTTGGCTTGCCTAACATCACATTAACTCTTCTGGGTTGAACATTTATGTCTCATGTGTTTCCTCAGGTGCTAAAACAGCTCAGTATTAAGCCACAAGAGTCCCGTCAATTCCGCCATACATCTGATCTCACATTTATAAAAATAAACAATTATTTCTTGACCCTGCGAATGATGTGATTGACACCACTTAGACATTTTTATTTGCTGCAATTAACTCAACAATTTATTTAATCATGGTTGTCAAGACAGCTGCCACGGCTCTGTTTTGCCTATTAATCCTCAGACTCTGCCACCTGACTCTCACGTCACCTGTTTCCACTTTCCCTCATCAGACCTGCACTATATTTACTTGATTATTTCTTTATACCTTCCTGTTGTAAGTGTCAGTTATGCCTTTGATTTCTGGCCTCTGTAACCTGCCTGTAGCCAGAACCCTGAAACCATACCTTTTTACTTTTGT